AAAAATTTACCAGTCTGTGCCTAGCGACACATTAGGTAGTCTTGTGCTCCTGTGGGACCCGACTTGGACGAAACCATTGTGGATGTTGTGGTACTTACTTTGGTTTGCCTTGTTTGCTGTTAGAAATCCTTCTCCTTCTTCCTATAAACCTGGAAGGCAAACTAGATGAAATCCTGAGCCATTAATTTATTTTTAATTTTTGAAATCATGATTCTTTCTGACCATTTGATTGATCCTAATTGATTGATCTTGATTGATCTTGGTGTTTGGTTATTACTATTTTTTTGTATGATGCTTTCACTGCCGAAACACGAAATGTACTCCTCTGGGAAATATCATGATGCAAATGAAACCTAAGTAATTGCCCATAATTTCCCACCAGTGAAGCTCAGGAAAGTAATATTTTCTGTAACCCAAGAGCTTCATTAATTCCTCCATGCATATTTGGAGGAGGTGGGTTCTTTCTTGAGTATATTCTTTCCAATCTCGCTTTTTCTGTCTCTCAAGACACCTCCTTTTCTCACGCTGCACTTTTGAAGCCAGGATCAAACTTTAACTTCATAAACACACCTACCTCTCTGGGCCATGTGCCCAACCCTCAGTCTACATTACTACCTGAGCATGTGTAGCCATATGTTATTGAAAAATTGTTCCTCTAAATTCATTCCCAAAGAGATTTCTGTTTTAACACGAATGGCTTTTCAGAATCATACAATGAAAAGACTTGAGGAGGACTTTAAGACATGAGAGAGAAACGGCTACAAAACACAAAAACACCTGGGTCTAAATGACTCTTTGATGTCACTGGCAACACTAAGCACATAACCACAGGCAACTGACTACTTAAAAATCTCTCCATCAGAGACGGTAGCCTGGTTCTGAGTCACGGGCTACTGCAAAATGAGTTAATGCCTGATCCTAATACAAAGGAAACCAGATCACTTCGGTGGTCAAAACAAGAGGAGAAATGACTGTGGATGAGAACATCTCTGTCATATAAGCAAAGCATCGCGTTTTGGCTAACATCAGTGTATTTATTTAATGAAATACACCATGAGATTTTTGTGCTTTATTAATTTTACAAGCATTTAAAATGTGT